AATGTTTCTGTCTGTAATTGAAAGTAGACTTTTTGTGGTTTTCATTAGTGTCAGAGTGCTCTACACACACTCTGTGAAATGTTCTTTAAGATGCCCTGCTCAACTTCATTGAGAGAATTAAACAAATTATGACAGGCATAACTATCATGAGACTCTTACATAAGGTTTCTAAGTACAAAGTATAAAAATAATGAACTCACCTTCTTCAGGCTTGTTCAAGTAACCCTGCAAGGGATCGATGCCTATTTCTTGTTCTTCTGTTTGCAAGGGATGACTGGTTTCAGATACTGAATGATACATATTGGCAATTTCCACTACAGAGCAATTATCTGGAAAGAGAAAACAGAAAGACAACTAATACATAAATGTTTCTTTCATTGCTTTACAACAACAAAAAGACAGCAGAAAGTTTAATGCTGTAAATGTTCAGAACACTTTCCCAATTCCTAGAATTATGTCTGGTAAACATATTAAAGAAAATTATGTTAAAGAAAATTAATTCTAAATCACATAACTTCTTGCTCAAGTGTTTCTGAGATGTGCTTTATTATTATTTGCATTACTAGAGCACCTGGAAGCTCTAGTCATGGGCCAGGACCCCATTGTGCTAGTTGCTGTACAATCAGCACAATAAAATGTTCCTGCCCCCAAAGAGATTATAACCTAATAGTAAGACAGTGGCAACAGGAGAACATAGACAAATGGTGGAGTATGAGGAAACAATGATGTAGCAATATACGCAGTAGTCTCAGCACACCAGCAGCCTAATCATTGTCAAGTTTCTAGTTGGCATCACAGAAAAGCAAAGAGAGCTTTATAGAGGAGTAAATGAGGAAGAGTAATGACTGTTAACAGGGAACTACTCCCAAGTGTGAGCCATAACATAGGAGAAAAAAAAGTGGTTGTTGAAGATTTATCAAGTGTGTGATGGAGGCATTATGGGGTAACTGAAGGATAGAGTTGACATACTATTAGTGAACAAGACATGATAGGTAGGGAGGGAATATGCACAAAGAGCCTTAAAATCAAAGACAAATAGTTTGTGTCTGGTATTAGAGAATGGGAAGCCAATGGAGTGCAAAGAGCGGGTTTCAATGGTCAAAGCAACAGACTAGGCAAGTGATCTTTGCAGCAACATTCTTAAGAGATATGAGAACAAGATTTTTGATTGTTAAACTTTTCGACCTTAGCAGGTTCAAAGATATAAGGTAACTGACCAAGAAAATAAATGCATGATTTTTCTACCAAAATAATTAGTAATCTAAGAGTGCCATCCATTCAGAGATTACAGAATCATCACTACTCTTACCTAAGGTCACTATTTGACATTTTTACCAACCTTATTGGCTTTCTAACCCCAGCAGAACAATTTCTAAAAGACTAGGGAAGGACCAATAAGAATATTTTACAATAAATAAAAAGATGTCTCTAGAACTATCAATACCAAAGTATACATATGCACAAAATTCAGTCATGTCACATTTTTCCTTCTGTTCATAGGAGGATAGGACTGGAAGGGACCTCGAGAGGTCATCGAGTCCAGCCCCCCGCCCTCAAGGCAGGATCAAGCTCCGTCTACACCATCCCTGACAGATGTCTATCTAACCTGTTCTTAAATATCTCCAGAGAGGGAGATTCCACCACCTCCCTTGGCAATTTATTCCAATATTTGACCACCCTGACAGTTAGGAATTTTTTCCTAATGTCCAATCTAAACCTCCCCTGCTGCACTTTAAGCCCATTACTCCTTGTCCTGTCCTCAGAAACCAAGAGGAACAAATTTTCTCCTTCCTCCTTGTGACACCCTTTTAGATATTTGAAAACCGCTATCATGTCCCCCCTTAATCTTCTTTTTTCCAAACTAAACAAGCCCAGTTCATGAAGCCTGGCTTCATAGGTCATGTTCTTTAAACCTTTAATCATTCTTGTCGCTCTTCTCTGTACCCTTTCCAATTTCTCCACATCTTTCTTGAAATGTGGTGCCCAGAACTGGACACAGTACTCCAGCTGAGGCCTAACTAGTGCAGAGTAGAGCGGCAGAATGACTTCATGAGTTTTGCTTACCACACACCTGTTGATACAACCTAGAATCATATTTGCTTTTTTTGCAACAGTATCACACTGTTGACTCATATTCAACTTGTGGTCCACTATGACCCCTAGATCCCTTTCTGCCATGCTCCTTCCTAGACAGTCGCTTCCCATCTTGTATGTATGGAACTGATTGTTCCTTCCTAAGTGGAGCACTTTGCATTTCTCTTTATTAAACCTCATCCTGTTTACCTCCGACCATTTCTCTAACTTGCTAAGGTCATTCTGAATTATGTCCCTATCCTCCAAAGAAGTCGCAACCCCACCCAGTTTGGTATCATCTGCAAACTTAATAAGCGTACTCTCTATCCCAATATCTACATCATTAATGGGTAGCAGGATTAAAACTAATAAAAGAAAGTTCTTCTTCACACAGCGTGTAGTCAACCTGTGGAAGTCCTTGCCAGAGGAGGCTGTGAAGGCTAGGACTATAATAGAGTTTAAAGAGAAGCTAGATAATTACATGGAGGTTAGGTCCATAAAAGTCTATTAGCCAGGGGATAAAATGGTGTCCTTGGCCTCTGTTTTTCAGGGGCTGGAGAGAGATGGCAGGAGACAAATCGCTTGATCATTGTCTTCGGTCCACCCTCTCTGGGGCACCTGGTGTTGGCCACTGTCGACAGACAGGATACTGGGCTAGAAGGACCTTTGGTCTGACCCAGTACGGCCTTTCTTATGTTCTTATGTAATAATGGGGAAGGAGCTGGCTTTGATAACAGTTCACCACCACCAGGAGCAATAAATGAAAGAGAAAGTAACCTTGTCCCTCAGAGAGAAATTAGAACACTGGCCAATCCCTCTCAAGATTAAAAAACCAACCAATCCTCAGGAATTTAAACAATCTCCATCAAGACATCAAGTCGGAAAGTAGAAGCAGTAATGAAAAAAAAAGAAGCCATATATGTTCCTGGTGAAATCAGTGAACATTCTTGTTTCAAATGTGCTGTGAAAATGCAAGTAAATTTTTGCAGGTGGAAAAAATATTTCATCAGATGTCTGAATGCATGAAAATTCCTGATTTTGTCACAAGTTTAGGATTCTGTCATTTCCCCCCACAGAAATGGTGAAATGGCAAAGCTGAACCCTGGATCAAAGCTGTGAATATCTGTCAAAAGACAAAGCAGGTGAGGTGATATCTTTTACTGGACCAACTTCAGTGGGTGAGAATTAAAAGATATCTCCTCACCTACCTTGTCACTATACTCTCCTGCGACTGACAAAACTGCAACAACACAACACCCAATATCTGTCAAAGTCTCTTTTCACACACATATGCATTTTAAGTGAAACATTGATTCTTCTGTACAGCTCCAGTAAAGTGAAGAAAAAGTTAATCGCAGTTATTGATTTTATTCTGTGGTAAGGAAAATTAATTGGACTAGGAAATGCCAAGGGATGGATTTTGAGAAGATGCTTCAAGAAAAATCTAATTGCTTTTGCCTGCACAATTACTGTAACTGCATACACAAACAGCATTAACTTTACATGCAATTTAGATAATTGTTCACATATTTTATATTCACTGTCTCATGTTTAGGCTAGCCAAAGTACAGATCAAAATTTTTGAGAGTACAGGTTATTCTTAGCCTCTTGCTGCTTAGCTCTTGATCTGCTGGTAAAACTTCAAGTTATAATTAAAACGGCTTCACTATTTACGCCCTGATTTTGGAAAGCACTCTCATTTGGGATTACACTTTAGCACTGGCTTAACTTTCAGCATATGCTAAAGTGCTTTTCTAAATAAGGATTGACTTAATGATGTTCTTAAATGCTTCTGCAAATTATCTTGCAACTGTAAAAACTTAAAGTTTGTCATCTGCTAGCTAGCGGTGAGACACAGAACAAGTAGCCTGATCAGTCAAAAATGGAAAAAAATAATTCTGCAGAAAACTCAGAAGTTGTTTCCACTTCAGAATATTTTTTTGCTTTTTTAAAACTTGATTTTTAACCCCGAGCACAGTAAGGCTAAATCTAGACTGCAGAGTTTTTGCACAAAAACTCGCAGAGCATCCACTCCTCAAGTGACAGAATGGAGGGGTTTTGCGCAAGAGTTATTCCTCTTTCTATGAGCAAGAGCTCTTGTGCAAAAAGGTGCGTGTGGACAGGGAACTGCCTCTTTTTGTGCCAAAAACTCCTATCGAAAAAAGCACAAGTGCCATGGCGGCCATTCTGTGAATACCTGGCCATTCTGTCCATAGCAATCACTGCTTACATGTGAGATAGCATCCAGGCAGTCTGGACTCTCTCTTTCGCAAAAGCACATTGCTTTTCCCATGCACTATTGAAGTGTGGATGCTCTCTTGTGCAAGAAATTTTCGCAGAAGATCTCTTCCAGAAAAAGCTTCTTGCGCAAGAAGCCTGTAGTCTAGACATAGCCTAAAAGAAGTGATATCCAGGAGGCTGGTTTTCCTTATGTTACTCCAGCTTTTCTAAACAACTCTAATTTTGAATACCCACTGAGCAGCAGTTACTGAGTTTTATTTTTTGTGTGTTTGTTTGTGTCTCTTCAACTTTTCCACGGTTGAGAATTTGGAAAAGATAGTGAATGTGCAAAAGGAAAATGAAAAAATAAAAGAATGAAAAACTCTCAAAGCCCTAGATACCATTCATTCTACTGAATTCATTGGGAAACATGGGGGAAAAGCGAAAGGAAAAAAGATAAAGGAGAAAAACAAAACAAACAAATAAACTAAAAATACGGGGATTTAATGAAAAACTGGAAAATGTTGTAAAACCAAAAACATTTGGTGGAAGTTTTGGGCTTCAAAAGATGCCATTTTTCATTGAAAAATAAAAAAAGATTTGGAGAAAAACTGCAGCCAAAGCTAATGCTGGTATCTGCAGTTCTATCAGGCCGGTCCCAGAACATGTTACTAATTCATTCAATGTTTAACATCACAGATACATACGCAGGACTCTCACTCCGTGCTTCAGAGCTTGCACACGGCTGGGCTCCATGGACATGCTGAGCATTGTCTGCTGTCCTCCAATAATGCAGACCTGGTTTTCTTGTGCCGCTTGCTTGAACATGACAATGAGCTGGTTGGCAATGATGCTATTCAGGATCGAAATGACGACCATTGGAAACACAAAGGAGATGAACGTGTTCACCTGCAGGAGATATAAATGGCAAACCCACATGGGATATCAATGAGGAGATCATATTTGATTTCACACGGTATCAGCTAAACAGCCATCTACTTACGCTACACATTTAGATTTTGCAATGCAGGGCTTATTGCATAGCGGGGAAACTTAACCAACAGGGAGATAAATTCACTCAGGTGGCAGAAAATTGGATACAAATAGCTAAATCAATCTTTCTCCCATTATGGTGCCTTGCCTCTATATCAGTGAAATGTATTGATGGAAATAACCTATTGATCATTTTATACATATGACCAGCGGGATACTTCTCAGTACATGGTAAGCTCTTATCAATGTTTTCTGAACAGCAGTTTCTGATTGCATTCTTTCCTTATCATGGGCAATTCGTGGGTTCATTTGTCATCTGTCTCATTCAGAATATCGGTGTTTCCGTGTAGATTTAATGACAGTTTTTTTGGTTAGCAGATGATCAAATTATCCAATAACCCTTGTGCTCTAAAGGATTAAAATTGATCTCAATAAAAAGTGGAAGCTGTATTGTTTTTAATAGAAATTATTTGGTTCCTGGGGTTTTGATAAAATTAAATGGAAGATCAAATTAACTGGTGATTGACTCAAGTGGAAGGCGCTGTTAACGTCAAACAGAAACATTTGTGCATTCTTACTCGAGTAGCCACAAACTCAGTCAGGAAGTAAACTTAACAAGCAACAGCTTCAAGAAAATTAGAAGCATTTTCACTGGGGTGGGGAATCTTTTTTGGGGTCAATGGCCGCTAACCCACAGAAAAATCAGTCAGGGGCCAAACACACATGAGAAGCAGAAAGAAAACACCTCACTGACCTGGCCCCCAATTGAGAAGCAGAAAAGAGAGAGAGAGAGAGAGAGATTCATCACACTCCTTTTGTGCTTCAGCCTCATGGGCGAGGGTGGGGGTTCTGAAGCTCAGGGCTTACCCCCCAGGGATGGATTAACTCTTCTGGGGACCTTGGGCTAGTAGATTTTGTGAGGTCCTTCTTGGCTTTGGAACTGGGCCAAAAATGAGGGATTCAGTGTGTGGGGAGTAGCTGCTGGGGAGTGAGATGGGGTGCAGGGTCTGGATGGGAGGCAAGGTGCAGGAATGAGGTGGATGGGAGATAAGGTGCAGGAGTGGGATAGAGGTGGGGTTCGGGTGGGAGGTAGGGTATAGGAGCGAGGTGGGGTGAGGTCTGGGCAAGAGTTAGGATGTAGGTTGTCCTTTGATGATAGGACAAGAAACAATGGGGCTTAAATTTCAGCAAGGGAGGTTTAGATTGAACATTAAGAAAAGCTTCCTAACTGTCAGGGTGGTTAATCACTGGAATAAATTGCCTAGGGAGGTTTTGGAATCTCCATCACTGGAGATTTTCAAGAGCAGGTTAGACAAACTCCTGCCAGAGATGGTCTAGATAATACTTGGCCAAGATAATAAAGAGTGCAGGGGGCTGATCTAGATAACCTCTCAAGGTTCTATTATTCTTTGATTATTATGGCATGACTTAAAGCCAATTGAGGTCAACTGGAGACTTTATACTCCTAGACTATGGCATCTGTACATTTGTACTAACTGAAAATGTCATAGTTCTGGGATAGATAGCATTTATATTTAACTCTACATGGTTGGTAATATTGCACGAGAAATGTGTAGCTGTTCCGTGATCATGCTTGGATCTTTTGAAGCCTTTGTCCAGAAAGCTCAGATTTTTATTTGCCCTTTTTATTTGGTGAAACCCAGAACGGAAGATGAGCTACAGCAATTACAAGGAAATAATTTAAACAAGGATTCTATAGCTATCATAAGCCATAAGAGCAGTGTCCGAGTAGTTTAAGATATCTACATGGAATTGTTTCCATCTTAGTCTGCAAAGAATCACAGGCCACGAACCTTAAAAAAATTAATGGATCCAAAAATTTTAAAATTTCAAAACATTTACAATATTTAAACCCTTTGCTACAAATGATTGAAACCATTAAACCAGTTTTGCTAAGACTAAAAATTATAGGGATTTTTGCCAGTGTCAAAATTAGTCTTTTAACAGAGATAATTCTGACTTGATTTCCCAAAATAGTCAGGTCTCTATCACAGCTAATGGTCTAAAAAATTCAAATTCCATCATTTCAAAGTCAAACAAATGGATGGTAACTTATTTCAAGAGTGGTTTTGTAGGCTGTTATTTTCATCAGCTATATCTCCATCCAATTCAGACACAGTGACTACCCACTTGAGTGATGAGTGCCTTATAAATGTCACGAAGGGATAGACAGATACACATGCTAGTTAGTTTTATGAATTATTTATACCAGCAAAAATGCAAAACAAAATACTACATAAATATTCAGATACCATTACATTTGATTCATAAATATAAGAAAGATAGAAGTTTACAGGTTGAACCACTCTAGTCTAGCATCTTTGGGACGTGACTGGTGCTGAACCAGAGAATTTGCAGGACCATGGGAGATCTATATTGTCTAGCAGTATTACCAACTCTTTCACTGCTTACTGGGCTCTTAGAAGACATTTAGGGGTAAATTAGAGCTAAATAATAGCACGCAACACTGAGCGCCAGGACTGGGGGCTGTCAACAAACTTTATGGGACAGTGGGAAATTTGGCCACACCCATGATAAGTGGACAGCTGACTAATCCAAGACCAGAGAGTGCCAGACTAGAGAGGTTCAACCTGTAGCTTTGGAGAAGAGCGACATAATTGTTCTTATGTATTTCTCTTTAGCTGGACCAAAACCCTATATGCAATGCATAGCAATTAGTCCAGAACCTAATGTACTGTAACAAAACTGTTTTGGGGCTGGCTCTGTTCAATATCTTCATCAACAATTTAGATATTGGTATAGAAAGTACGCTTATTAAGTTTGCAGATGATACCAAGCTGGGAGGGGTGGCGACTAATCTGGAGGATAGGGTAATCATTCAAAATGACCTGGACAAATTGGAGAAATGGTCTGAGGTAAATTGGATGACGTTTAATAAAGAAAAATGCAAAGTCCTCCACTTAGGAAGGAACAATCAGTTTCATACATACAGAATGGGAACCGACTGTCTGGGAAGGAGTATGGCAGAAAGGGATCTAGGGGTTATAGTGGACCACAAGTTAAATATGAGTCAGCAGTGTGATGCTGTTGCAAAGAAAGCAAACATGATTCTGGGATGTATTAACAGGTGTGTTGTAAGCAAGACATGAGAAGTCATTCTTCCGCTCTACTCTGCACTGGTTAGGCCTCAATTGGAGTATTGTATCCAGTTCTGGGCACCGCATTTCAAGAAAGATGTGGAAAAATTGGAGAGGGTCCAGAGAAGAGCAACGAGAATGATTAAAGGTCTAGAGAACATGACCTATGAGGGAAGGCTGAAGGAATTGGGTTTGTTTAGTTTAGAAAAGAGAAGATTGAGGGGGGACATAATAGCAGTTTTCAGATATCTAAAAGGGTGTCATAAGGAGGAGGGAGAAAACTTGTTCATCTTGGCCTCTGAGGATAGAACAAGAAGCAATGGGCTTAAACTGCAGCAAGGGAGGTTTAGGTTGGACATTAGGAAAAAGTTCCTAACTATCAGGGTGGTCAAACACTGGAATAAATTGCCCCGGGAGGTTGTGGAATCCCTATCTCTGGAGATATTTAAGAGTCGGTTAGATAAATGTCTATCAGGGATGGTCTAGACAGTATTTGGTCCTGCCATGAGGGCAGGGGACTGGACTCGACCTCTTGAGGTCCCTTCCAGTCCTAATATTCTATGATTCTATGAAAACAACCAGCTGTGTTCCATCTTTAGCTATCCATTCAATGAGGTCTTACTTGGCTAATGCTAGCAATAATAGGGTATGTCTAGACTACATGGCTCCATCGATGGAGCCATGTAGATGAGTTTACTAGACATAGGAAAATAAAGCGGCGATTTAAATAATCGACACTTCATTTACATCAAAATGGCTGCTGTGCTGTGCCGATCAGCTGTTTGGCGGCACAGCGCAGTAGTCTGTACGCTCTGCAGTCGACAACGGAAGCCTTTGTTGACTGCTCCGGTAAACCTCATTCCTAGATATACCTCATTAAAGACTACCTGCTAATTTGTCTTGTTCTGAACATACAGTCATTTTCTAAGAAATTTTGTGAGCTTCCAAAGTGCCTCACCTTTTGAAATCTACTCCAAAACCTCAAAGTGCCCATAAATATTAAGGGTCAGATTCTCTTCCAGTGCCAACTGGCACAGTTCCATGGAAATAAATTGAGTTGTGTAGATTAACATTCAGTAAGCATCTGGATCTACTTCGGTAAGCATCCTCATGCACCTTTGAGGTAGGGATAAACGTGTGGCATAGAAAGGTAAAACGACTTGCTCAAATTCTCAGGGCAAGCCACTGGCAGAGCGAAGAGAAGAACCCAGAGTTCCTGATTCCTGTTTCTGTTTCTCTAATCAGAGGTAGGGAAATTATTTTGGGTTGGGGGCTGCTGATCACAGAAAAATCAGTCAGGAGTCACACAAAAGTAAGAAACCCCCTCCCAAAACCCTGACCGAGAAGCAGAACAAAACTCCCCACATACCCCTTGCACATCAGAGCCTGGGGGTTGGGGGGAGGCAGGGTAATAGATTTTGTGGGTCTCCCTGCACTCTGGGGTGGGACCAAAATGAGGAATTCAGTGTGTGGGAGGGGGCTCCTGGGAAGCGGGCTTGGAGTCACACAAAAGTAAGAAACCCCCTCCCAAAACCCTGACCGAGAAGCAGAACAAAACTCCCCACATACCCCTTGCACATCAGAGCCTGGGGGTTGGGGGGAGGCAGGGTAATAGATTTTGTGGGTCTCCCTGCACTCTGGGGTGGGACCAAAATGAGGAATTCAGTGTGTGGGAGGGGGCTCCTGGGAAGCGGGCTTGGGGTGTGGGCTTTGGGTGGGAGGGAGGGTGCAGGAGTGGGGTGGGGGCTGGTGAGTCTGGGAAAGATGGTAGGGCTCAGGAGCAGGCTGGGAGCGGGC